AGTTACCATAAATTAATTATAATGATAGACTTCCTTTTAGTGCGAATATTGCGGAATTTATCGTCACGTGAAAGTTGATGTGTTATGTAATAACATTTAGTCCAGGCCATACAATGTCTAACATGCTTTAAGGGAAAAAACAGAAATAACATTCTCATGTACATGCAAATAAACTTAAACATTCAATCAATGTTAGTCCGGTCCGTTTGGAAACACATTTACGAGTTAAGTTCAATATCAGAATATATATTTTCAGCTATGGTATAGTTTTGATACGTATATTTCTCCAATGGGATATTGATACGCTCAGTCAGAAATGTACATTTCGGTACGATACATGTGTATGCAGTTCAGTGGTAGTGTCCGATTGTATCCCATTATTGTATTTGATAATATGTATTAATGCCCAAGTACATAAGTGCGATAAGATATCAACTTCACACGTAACATGTGTATTTTGTTTTGTTTTTGTTTTTGTTTTTGTTTTTCATGTTTAAATCTTCCGAGCATGTTAGTAACTAGATGCTAAGTTATGTTACGTAAGATGTATTGTAATTCCATAGCAAAATTCATGAAACATTTCTTGCAGCTATCAAAGACAAAGAAAACGAAAATTAAAATGTGATATATTAAAACATTGAATGGAGCTTATTTAATATAACAATATGTAAAATAACATCGCTCATCATGTGAGGATTTTAATTTAAACTACAAAATAAAACGTTTATAACGAATGTAAGCTAACAAAGCTTTGATAAACCGACCCAAAGAAAAACCAAGAAGGTAACCTAGTAATGCATTGACCATAATGTTTCTTTTGAAAATGCAATGACATTGCTTATTACAATAGAATAATAAGTTAAGAAAAACTTTTAGTGCAATCTCATGTTTTTTAACATATGTATTACCTGAAATACGACGGCAATAAGCTATGGTTTAAATAGTCTAATTCTGGTCGTTGTAAAGTTTATCGTCGATACAAAAGAAATATCACAATAATAAATTGTGCCATTTGTTATAAAAAAGAAAGGATAAGTAAAGAAAAAACAAGTATTTTTTGTCGAATATCTTTTCTTGAAATTGGCGGTATATGTCGACATATTTCGGTGCTAAAACGCCGTGGGCCTACATTAGTGTGTTCTTAGGACAAGTTCTGCTTGAGGATTAAAAGACTTGCGAGACAATATTATCTACCTTGATCAATGGGACGTATCAGTGTCGGACGAAAGCATAAACGTTCATCCAGAACTTCATTTGGACTTTCTATCTTTGGATAGTCTTATCAATGTTGCATGTTAATATTTGAGTGAAAGGGTAAATAATTGAATTCACGTTAACGGAAATATTTACTTAAAATCTATCTAAAGTCAATGTGTCGTCGTATTTGGCAGAACGCCAATCTTTAAGTTGAAGCTGAGGCAAATCCACATCTTGCATTGCTTTTGACTTGTGTTTTAAACCCAATCTTTGTGACAGTGTGTTTAAGCTGACCAATGGAAAGGCGCAAATATTTTATATGACGACAGTTATGGCACATCGATTTGCCAAATAATTGTTTATGGGTTTTTTAAGATAATGAATGAATTATTGCAGAACAAACTGGAAGATAAGAAAAATTTATCGCTTATTTGGTCGAAAAATAATTATATTACTATATTAGTTTCACTGATCATCTGAATTTTATAAGCAAGCTGTCACCGAAAGATTATTTCTTTAAGGAGACTTGATCATGCTTAATGCATAAGTAATATGTTTCCACACACCAGGTGATGCAACATCCTATCTTTGTGGTGTGGGGTGTACATTTCATGTTGCGCGAAAGAGAACTCTTCTGTATATAGAGAATGAAAAGTGCGTCGAGATGTCAACAATGGCCAGAAGAGACGAGAGAGGACGGTTTACACGTTTGGAAAGTTATTGTATCAAAAGTAGTAGCTGTCATGATCACTCTTATTTGAAGCCAACGTCGCCGGTTGATGTAAAAAATATCGACGCATGGTCAGATTTCAGTAGTGACTGTGTAGTGATGAGAGTGAGAAGGAACGGCAGTACACCTACCGGATTCTTCACTGGGAAGCGAGACATCGAGTCATACAAGTGTCCATGTTGTGTATCTGAACGCTCAATATACATAGTGTATGTGTTATGCAATAATACTACCCACTTAAAAATGTTTCCTGTAACTGTGATATTTTGTTTAAAGTGTGTACAACTATGTGCCATGAGGGTATTTTACGTGTAAATATTGAAATCTGTCTATTAAATTCAAATCTGATCGACTTTGTAAATATTGTTTTATATATTTTTACATAAATAAGGTATTTGTAGATACAGATTTTTTCAATTGATAGATTCGTTACGATTTTCATTAATCGTTTTAAAATAAATAAATAAATAAATAAATAAATAAATAAATGAATAAATACAAAGGAAAATGTTGGGCTTTTTGTTGTTGTTGTTGTTGTTGTTGTTGTTGTTGTTGTTGTTGATATTGTTGTTGTTGTTGTTGTTGTTGTTGTTGTTGTTGTTGTTGTTGTTGTTGTTGTTGTTGTTGTTGTTGTTTTCATTTTTCACCAAAAATTTAACAACTCGGAATTCTTAGATTTTCAGAAAAACCACATTCATATGTCACATATGGTAACATAATCATTCTTTAAAAGTATAAAGAAAATTTGGCGAATAATTTTGAATGGGTCGCGCCTCCTTAACTTATGACTTCCTCGAAACTAATTAGATTCTTTCTAGAAGTCAATATTATCGGTTGAAGGAAATGACGGAATATTTTCTATTGCTTGTTATAATTGTGTTTTACATCATAACATGTAATACAAAAGACGAAATAGACACATTCTATTCTTACGCTACTTAAATAATATCCATTGTCAATAAAGTTTTCGTTTTCAATATGGACACAGTGTTATTTTTCTTAGAATATATGTTATTAACTATCATTAAAAGATAAAATCAAACTTTAAGAAAATAAACACAGAAAATTGAGACTCGCATAGAGGACAGACATCTCACACCAAAACAACATGTAAATTGGAAACAACACTCCAGAACAAATGAAAATATTACATCATAATTTATTAGAGAGTAGATAAGCAGGGAAAAAAGTATGCCAAGCACAATCCACAAATTATTTGCAGAACAAATATACATCCACATTACATGATTCAGTTTTCGGCCAAATTGACTCGTTGAATATCTTCCTCCTTCAATTTTCAGTTTCCAAACTAAGCTAATATTTAGAAATTAAGGCCATCCTTTAAGGCGCACAGGTATTGAGACTATACTAAAAACACCCAAGTGAATGACACCTTTAGATACAAATTGATAATTCCATACAATAAATCCAAACTGATCAAACTGCATCACACATCTGTTTGACCATCTAGGACTTGTCAGTGATGCTAAGGACCTAAACCTGGTAGCCAACTGAAGAAAAATAAAGTTATATCTTAGACTAGTGAAGTCACAAGCTTATATACGCATTTACCAAATCAAACAATGTAATTTTAAGCCACTACTTTCTTATTTTATGTTTATGTCCTTACGAAGGAATCCTTTTTCTAAACTACAAACTTATATCGTATGAATACTAATTGATACATTTTCACATATATATATCTACAAATAATTTTCCGTGCAAGCACGTGTGGACGCTAAGCAAAGTGGATGTGCTATCGTAACGATATGAAAGAATCAACATATGTTGAATTGTTATCCGATTCTGTTTTTTTAACAACAAGTATAATACTGCACAATGTATTCGAAATATACACTTAACAAACGCCAGAATATTACCAAAAGTTGTTAGATAATAGGACAGTGGTTCGATCTTAATTCTATCAGATCATGTAAGAAAGTAATACTAAACAATTTCATTAACATGAACCTCCCACCGGAAAAATTAAAAATATTCTACAAGCAACAATTATGCATTAAATACATTGAAGACAATTACAAATTGCTTTCCTCTTAATTAAGTTTGAACATATGTAAATTAATGAGTTTTGTATAAGAGATGTCTAAGCAAAGACAACTCTTAGTTGTAAAGAATATTTTCAAGTTTACGACTCCTAGAATCAGTTGCTTAAAGGTTGGTTAAAGTTAAACAGTGGTTAGTAAAAATTCTCAAATAAGACAAAGTTGGAAACATTCTTTATCATTTCCCAGATGTAGATTTGTTGAGACAGTTAGTTGATATTTTTGAGAGTTGATTTTGCTCAGTGACAGCTACTTAACTTTCACATTAAACACCGTTTACTCTAACCAAGTTCTGAGCGACTGAGCCGGAATTTCGCAGATTAACCTCGAGCTAATATTGTCGGTCCAAATCCTTAAGAATATCTTTGGGGGAAATCTTTAATTGCGTGGAAAAACGCTCTGAATTTTACGAGGGAACGACCACCATTAGTGATCAGGGAATAATATCAAAGATTATCATAACACCAATACTAAAGTCCTTTGACTCTCATTACCACTTGTGTGAGAAAGACGTCAGTGTTTTGGAGCAAAAAAGTCTCAATGTTCCTCGTGAAAATCTGCACAATACTGACTGAATGTTTTAGTTTGTTTAATCAAATCTAACTAATTTAATATGGATGGCATCAAACACTATAAGTATCATTAGACAGCGTTTATGTAAAGGATATAAAATTCTCATCATTCTCTTGGTTCTAAATTCTTTTCCCGAGTTTGGTTTTGAGGTTAGTACGGAGCCCCAGAAGGGACATCCCATTTTTGTTTTAATCCGAGGCCTCGGTTTAGCAATCCGTTGCCTCGGTTTACTAATCAGTGGCCATGGTTTAGTTATCCAAGGTCTCGGTTTAGTAATTCGTGGTAGTTTCTTTGCTGCAAATAAGTTAACTAAGCTTTTTTAGGTAACCACGACTGAACAAAGGACACAAGTTTACAGCGTCTTTCAAAACAAATTTAGAAAGACAACGGAGCTGTATAATGAATTAAAAATACAGACAAAAATCGCTCTTTGAAAGATTTGTTGATTTTTTTTACTCCAAATGACTTATATTACTCTAAAGATCTGTTGATGTTTTAGTCCTCTAAAGATCTGTTGATAATTTTATTTCAAAGGAGTTACGTGACTGATGCATGTTACATAAACGGCGATAGCACATCACATGACAATCCACTAAAGGTCCTGAGTTGATCCTTTTAGCCCCATGACTGATTTAACTCATCACCCAATCATCACGCTTGTATAGAGTCCATTGTTATGGAACAAGTTGTTTTCGTAAGTGGTGACTTTTCTTCACCATAGATGTATTAGTATGATTTTATCGTCTGTAAGTATCATGTTCCCACAGAGAACTCGGTTGACTAAACCCGTTACATCATACATCACACACGGGTTTTTCCTGTGAATGAAGCCTGAGATGCTTTCGTAGAGAACTCGACACGACAAATTTCTTACCACAGATATCACACTTATAGGGTTTCTCTCCCGTGTGTGACCTGAGGTGCACGAGTAAATCATTAGAATTATTAAAATCTTTACCACAGACACCACATGTATATGGTCTTTCTCCAGTATGTATTCTAATGTGTGCCTTAAGACTACTTGTTAGTGTAAACCTCCTGCTACAGATATCACATTTGTATGGTTTTTCCCCGGTATGTTTCTTAATGTGTTCCTTTAAGCTACCAGCTACAGTGAAACCTTTACCACAGACATCACATTTGTGAGGATTGTCGTCTGTATGTAGCCTCGCGTGTAACTGTAGACTAGACAATTTACTGAACTCCTTCTCACAGAAGTCACAACTGTACGGCATGTTTCCCTTGTGTGTCGTCTTTAGATGGATTTTAAGGTCAACTGATATGTTAAATTCCTCGCCACAAACAACACATTTGAAATGTTTCTTGTCGGTGTGTGACTTTCTATGTCTCTTGACGCTTCGCGACATACTAAACGCTTTACCACATATATCACATTGATAAGGTTTTTCTCCTGTGTGTGTCCTGATGTGCTTCTGTAGCTCACTCGATTGAGTGAATTTCTTATCACATACATCACACTCGTGTGGTTTTTCTCCTGTGTGTGACCTACGGTGTATCGTTAAGCTGTAAGACTGGGTAAATTCCCTACCACAGAAATCACATTTGAACGGTTTTTCGCCTGTGTGTTGTCGTCTGTGTACCTTTAGATTACCAGAATGACTAAACTCCATATCACACATGTCACATTGAAATGGTTTCTCTCCCGTATGAACCCTAATGTGTGAAAACAGGTTATGGGGTTGAAGAAACCCTTTACCACAGACATCACATTTGTGGGACTTTTCTTCTGTGTGTATTTTGAGTTCCGTTTGTGCTTCATGTTTATCTAATCCATGCATCTTTGCATTGTTGCTTTGTGTGTGAATATTGGTAAACATTTTAATCCTATGTATACTTGTTCAAACGAAAGGCTGTTAATTTTCGCCCTGGTGAGGTGAATACCTGACAGAACATGCAAGGTCTGGACAGTTCTGAAATCAAAAAGAAAATAAGATATTGTTACCTGTCATTTTATTATTAAAAAACTGTCTTTCTAGTGAATCCATGACGACCATATTTTTGCGGTATGACGACACACGCTACCTGAATGGGTTAGAGATTTACGTTTTTCACATTCACAAAAGAGTTATCCTTCGTTGACGTGACGTCATCGATACGAAAGGATTATTGATTGTTGAAATGACGTCACCTTCGGGTAAGACATGGTGGATGCATGTTCAGTGTCTTAAAATATAAGGGCAAAAAAAGAGACAAAAAATGACGATTTGAATTACCTCAATTATTAAGTTTTTGGAACAATAAACCTGATGGCTGAGAACTTCATCAGTCAACATATCAAACATCAGGTTACAACGATATATGTGGATATGGTTTATAAGTAAACTTATAAGCATTGTAATACCCTGTGATGATAACATCCAACGTTATTTTACAGTCACACAGTAATATACATATTTACAATCAATCAAATACAATCTTTGGGGGAAAAAAACGTTACATTATGGAGGTAAATGTATTTCAAAAAGTATACGTGTAAGTTAGTTGAATATTATAAACCATCGATATATCTTCATTTTATCATGAATACATCATACAGTTAATTATTTTAGTCATTAACCGATTTTCCACAATATGAAAATGAAAAATACCACAGTATCGGAAACAAAAAATATGGATTATTTTTTATCCTTGTTGAGCGTCAAATCCCCTTGAACGGAACATTTTACACACAGTATATAGATCTTTGTAAATTATTAAAGAAAAGTAATGAACAATAATAACGTATACAAATTAAAATTATTGTTTGGATTTTAGAATACAACCCTATGTGTAATATATATGGCGTCGGGCCTAATAGTCTACGGTTAAACGATATCTTTATAAGAGTTACCTCCCTTCCAACAAAGAAAGCTGTATTGCTGTCACGAAAATAAAGTCAAGTCTTCTCCAAAGCAAATATTAGGTTCAAAGCAAAGCAGATAAACTTTATACTTCATTTGAATTTTAAACCATAGATTCGAGCAACTTAATTTTGGCAACATAATCCGTATTAAGGAGGAGGTTAATGGTAATCAGTTTGTGTGTATCGCGTCAATCAAAAAGAATGGCGCGACATAATTTAGGCCTACCCTATTGTCGCAAAATCTGCAGCACACTAGGTCTCTTTTGTCCGGACAATCAAGTATGCATGAGTTGGTCAGTGCGCATAGACAACTTGGAGTGAGTCCACTTACAGCTAGGCCTGCCTCCTGTAACAATTCATTCATGTTTCCAGTATGCTGGGTTGTACTAAAATTCAGATCCTTGACCAGAACTAACCAGATTAAACGAAGTTTATTGAAATATATAATAAATGATGAAATACGCGGGATTTCTGTTTCAAGTCAGTAATTTTTTTCTCGTGATGAATCATATACTGGTAACCAATTATGCAATTATCTTCCACCCTGCTACACTCGTGCACCTTCAACCATCCCCATGAATTTTTAACGTCATTTTTTTTTATTTTGGCGCTACTTTGTTTACCAATGACATCGATAACAAACGAAGATAAACAAGGTAACTCCACAACACGCTTATAAAAGACTGTTTCATCTTTTATTCCACACACAGTTGGTTTTTCTGTCTTTCCCTAGCCCACAGAGTCCTTTCTCAGCCAAGATATTCATATAGATATAATTTGCTTTTTGAATCATAAATATGAATAACGGTAGATTATCACTGTTGTGCCTTGGCAGTTGTTGCTCTAGAACTGTACTATCTGTTATCGGAAAGATACCATGGCCTCTAAGATACCGTCACACCTGACACATATGTATCACAACCGTGTTCATTAAAAATCTATATTCATAATCAATTAAATTCCCAGTTACCAATTTAAAAAAAAAATAACCGGAAATTATCAGTTTGCTTCCTTTTTTTAGAATGATAGCAACATATTTTTTTATTTTACCATACAAACATACACCAAATCATCAATTTAAATGTTCTGAATGAAATTAATAAAAAAAATTCAGGTAGAATGACGGACAAAAAGTCAACACAACTTTAAGACAAAGATCCGATATCCATTACATCCACATATAGCGTAAATCATAGCGACTCCTCCCTTATTGTTGAGCCATCGCTCCAGTACTACACATGCCTTTTCCTCAAGAGTTTTCAGTTGTTTATTTTCTTTGCCACCAGTGATTTGTTGATATTGACTTCCGGTATATTCCCAAAAGAATTTTCATGCCAACATCTACAATACTTGCATAGAATTGCATAAAAGATATTCAACCGTGTAAAAAAATGTTTTTAAAAAAACAGATTAGGAATATCATAACATAATGTAAATCTCACGGTTTACGGGGAAACAATTCAAATTCAATAAATTCTTTTACTGAAACGGTTTGAGTTCTTTCATGATAGTACATGATGTATTCATATAAATTATTTCGTAATAACATTTTTAAAAAGTTATTTCATATCTTACCAATTCTCCGGTTTCCGTGTCTTGTTCAAATTCTGGTAAAATACAACCGTAACAAAGTTACATTCATCCCTGTCGCTTCGATTTATGTTTCATTAGAAAATAATCGTCCATCCTGCTTAATATGAGATTTATTTAAACATAAAGGGATTCGTCAAGATAGATAGTTTACCGTTTGCTTACTTGTTTCTTGTTAAATAGCCTATTTAAACACGATCTCAGCTGTCTTCAAAACAAGCATCACGCTATAATCATTTGGATTTGAATATCAGAGTCCCTGTCATTGTTCCTGCATTCTATGATTGGACCTCGTTGTTTTGCACTCTATACAGCCGAGCGAGAAGATAAAGTTGCCTTATCTCGTCAAACTCACCCTTTCTGAAAAGATTGGATGTCAATACTTAAGTCTGGACAATCGTTCACCTGCTACTCCCTCTTTCCATTCCAGATCCTTTCGTCATCAGTTTTACTTCATGTGTGTGTTCTGTAGATATAATCATGAATGATGTTAAAACGCGAGGTAAAAAAACGTGTGCAATGTTTTTAATCATTTTATGTAAATAAAGCTGAAGATGTCGGGAATGGTGAAGACATAGTATATGACATCATCTCTAAAATCAAAAGTCAATCTTGTTACGTGAAAATCTTGGGTTTTTTTAAAACCTGTTTCCGCTAATTACGTATGTAGAGAGATTAATTCAATCCAATTGGTTTTAAGAAGGCAAGAGGTTTTGATGGCACATCGTACAAACTCTAGAAAGGCCTGTAGTGATATTTGGTATAAGTTGTTCTCTAAGTAATGTGATAAATTTTAGTTTTAATGTAAATAATTTCCCTAGTCAACTTAAGGTTGCACAGGTTGTACCTGTTTATTAAAAGAAGGATGCCAGGCCTTAAGTATCCTGCCTAGTATCGCCAAACTCTTTGAAAGATTGATGTGTGATCAGCTTGGTGAATATTTTAATAGTATAATTCTTATTTGTAGCCTTCAGACCGTCGAGGATTTGGATGTCAGACTACTCTGTCAAAATTGGTCGAGGACTGGCGCAAGGCCTTGGACAACCATGATTATGTCGCTGCCATTCTCATGGATCTGTCTAAGGCTTTTGACTGCCTTCCTCATGATATCTGTTGCTCAGGAAGATGGATGTCTAATGATCAATGCTTGATCACTGGACCTGGTATCTAACTATCTCATTGGGGGAAAATGTACCTTCTGAGACTTAGCTAAATGCAAAACTTTTGATTCCAGCTTCTCGTGGTCAGTATCCTGCTTTGGAAGGAGGAAAATGCGTATTTCTTAAACAGTCTATAGAGTCACAAGGATACTGCAATTTTAAATGCATTGGGCTATATATGGATATTAAGACATATATAGTTCACACAATCCATTTGGGGGGAAGTCTTGGTAATACCATATTGTAATATGCAAACAGCAGTCAGCAAAGGTAAGTCCTTATGTTTTGCAAAAATAATGATATAACCCTGGCTCTCCGTCACAGTAGAGTTAGTATGTAGGAAAATAGTCGCACGTACGAATACGCAACTGCGGCTAATTTGACTGTAAACATTCGGCAGGTGCTCTGTACGAATATATATATATATAAGGTCGGCGGAGACGTATGCCTCTGAGTGCTTGGTAAGTAAACCACAGTTTTACTCAGTTATTTTTTGCATGACTAATTCGTAATTGATTGGTGTTGTTTGAATCGGCCAACCGGTTTCACCCATGCGAAAACAGGGCATGACTTTTATTTTACAAATTTCAGAGATACTTCAGTACAGTGTATGCGGCTAGTAGCTAGCTGTCAGAAACATTAACCAACGAAGACTAACCTTACCAGTACACATAAATGCTCAAATACACTAAAGTTAAAACTAAAGTAAAGTTGTTTTTTTTAAATCCTAATGTAAAAACTTACATTTACAGAAAAGTAACAAGGGAAGTAACTCGTCGTTTTTTTCTGACGTTTTATATAAAAATCCCATTTACACGCGTACTTCGACATGATCGTTATAACTCGGGTTGTGGAAGAGCACCATTAAGTGATTGTCTCATTTGAGTGAATTTCTATATATAAGCAGATTAAAGGACTAAAACCAACTTAATGTAAAGACATTTTGGCATTGAGTCCTACACTATTCAGATGTACATGTATTGTGGACTAGATTTATCATTATTACACGCATAATCAGTTACTGTAATATTTACCTATTTTATTGTATTTTGTTATCTGATAAGATTCAATAGTTCAGAGGGCCGTGTAGTTTTTCAGGCCGTTATTATGGAGCTTGATAAGGATGCCTGTGTCTCAAAACATTTTTTAAAAGTTCCAGAGTCACTACTTTTAAAGGGTGTTCCAGTATCTGTTACCTGATGATAAGCAAGAGCTGTTTGATAACTAAATAGCCTGCCTATTGATGACATTTATAGAAATGCATGAAACTTTTAATTATCAACTCCCCCTTGGCATTTGTGATCTAGTACAGCTCAATAAAAGTTAGTAAAAAGATCAAACATTATTATGATATCACAATCAGTTTCTGACTTGTGCAGCCAATTAAAAACATTCTAGGGTTTATTACACTTGTGACATATAGGCAAAACATATGTATATTATACAGACAATTTCACTGGATCAAATGAGAATTATATGATAAGTATGTAAACTGCCTTTCCTGATTGTAATAGGATGCAGCCACAGCAAAATTATGTTTAAAAAAATCAGAAACTGTAAATAGATTTAATTAAGAGTGTTCCTTTTCTCACCAGATATGGATGCATTGTTTTTTATCATATGGGTTTTTTCTTCTAAAAAAATATCTTTTTATATTTATCATTTCTTAAACTTATATCTTCCTCATATATATGTACTACAATTTTTCCTTCTTTTTCAGGATATGATCAGCACAAAATGACTCTGCAAAAGATTTTCCTTACCATAATTCTTAATTTCACCATCAAATCAATACTGAATCACTTTGTAAAAGGAATTGATGTGAAACCACAAAAAGAAGTCTATTTGCCAAGCTATGACTATTATCATAATATTTCAACATTAGAAAAAAAAATTAATGATATTGTTCGGAGGAATACAAATTTTATGAGGATCGATACAAGTTATCGTTCTAGACTTGGCCAGTCCCAGCTGGTAATCCACATCACAAACTTTACTGGGAGTACATCAACGCAGCTATTCAAAAACACAATGACACCGAAATTAAAAGTTCTCTTTTCATTTGGAGAGCATGCAAGAGAGTTCTTACCTGTTGAATCCATGCTATTTTTCCTCAGTAATCTAACTGCAGGGCTGTCTTCACTTCCTGGCAGCTATGCTGAACAATTCACACGATCAATATTGTCAAAAGTTGACCTATTCATTATTGGTATGGCAAATCCTGATGGACGCTCCCTACTGGAGCAGGAAAGCAACTACTGTTGGCGAGGTACTAGCACAGGGGTTGATCTTGACCGTAACTTTGACTGGGAGTTTGGTGGAAAGGGCAGCTCTTCCGACCCCACTGATGAAGAATATAAGGGCACACAGCCTTTCTCGGGTGAGTACAGTGTAATCCCCTTCCTGGTATAAGAGGAGGTAACTCTGCTTGATTGTGTACAGTTTATATAATGGTTTAGCTAAGGGATAAAGTAGAAGATGGATTGTAACCTTGCCAAGCAAAGTTGGAAACGGTTATATGCAGTAATTTGAAAAGATGACAAATTTTGAAATATGGTTAAGTTTTGCATGGTAATTTGTAAATCTGTCAATAGGTTGAATATTTACTGTACCAGCCATTTTTTAATTAGAATTGTAATCCAATCTACATTTTCTTTACTAGAGATTCTTGTATATAAAATTTTACTGAATTTACATATGATCTGAGCACATCTAAATTGGATACCTCCCGGTAAGATGTTTTAGAAAATTGTTCTTTCTTGTATTTTGTCTTTTTATTTTTTCTATTATTTTCACTTTCAGAACCAGAGGCTGAAGTGTTTAGAGAGCTGACATTGAAATACAAGTTTGATGCCTTTGTTTCCTTTCACTCAGGCATAAACCAGATCTATGTTCCTTTTGCAGGTATGTACAATTACCTTTTACATTTTTGTTTTACGTTATACATAGTAAGAACTGTATGCTGCTGTTTGACAATACTATTTACATCAATGAAGGATATTAAATTTAGGTTTTATTTAACATATAAATATGTAACAAACAATAATTATTGAGGTTGTACTGGAAAAGTTATACTGAGGTTTTGTATTTTATCTATCTTCCTCTAAAATTCAAAACACCAGCAATATATCTATATGTAATGATATATAATACTGACAGGTATTAGATAACGGGCAAACCCTTGCTTCATTCTTGTGATCTTTATTTGCAGATACAAAATCGAAGCAAGAAAATCGTCGCCCATACAACATAGAAGATATGCTGGATTTAGCTTCAGAACTATCACATTCAACAAAGCATGGATATAGTTATGGTCACTCCTATGCTCTCAACCACTATACAGCTGATGGCACGATCTTTGACTTCATGTCTGGATCTAGAATGGTAAACAAAGATATACCAAATTACTCTAACACTGATGTTACAAAATAATGTCCTATGTTAACCACTCTGAGGAAATAAAACTCTTTTTGCCATATTTGAAGTCTTTGAAATCTTAAATCAGAATATTTGATAATGAGTAAATAGTACATGTGTTCCCTAATTTACAGAGTCTAAGATTTAAATTTGTCACAATTGTTGTATAGGAAAACTCACTTGAAAAGATATTTAGTGTATCTGTTAAAAATATCTTTCTTTTCAGATTCCGTTTTCCTTTGCTATAGAATTATGGCCATGGAAACAACCACCGTCAGGGAAAAGTTGTTTTAATTTGTTCAATCCTCAAAGCGAAAAGCTGGAGGTAAGATTTTAAATAGCTAAAGATTTAGCAATTCTCACAACACAGGAAAGTGGTTCCGTGAAATGAATGTTTTGGAACCCTTGGAAATCTATAAACACAAAAATTAATTCAACTTTCAAGTCATCCTAATTGCAATAATTTTGAATAGTAGCCACACATGGAATCAATCTTAATCATTTTTGACATAGAAATAAAGTGGTTTCAGCTGGAACTGAATCCAGTTATCAAATTACTCTAGATCTCTTTCAGTGACAAAGCAAGCAGAACTCCAAAATGTCAATTTTTGCTTTTGACACTGATGCAGATAAAATAGCAGCAGATTCTCAATGCATTCATCTCAAAACCTTTCACCATCATACAGAAATAAGAAAGTTGACAGTACTTATAGATTTAAAATGACAACCTTATTTTCTCAACTATCAAAATTTTCATTTGATATTCTGTAAAGTAATTGGAAAGCTCCTTTGAAAAAGAACAACTTTTATGAAAATATATATATGTTCATATCATTTTTCATTTATCTTGATCATTTTTTGAAATTTCAGACTGTGGTGAAGGAAATACATCCATTATATGTAAAGTTTTTTCATTATTTGATTGACTGGAAATTCAACGAAGGAATTGTGAAGATGAAATCAGCAGTATTGGTAAGATCATCTTAGAATACATGTACTATTACTGATGATAATTAAAAAAAAAACAATTTTTAATTTCTTGACTTAAACTTGTAGCAGAATCAAACAGGTGTGAATTAGAGGACATTCTTGAGGGCTTACAACCATAGTTCAAACCACTCAAGGTTAAATATTTTTCATTATATGATCACTGCTGCTACACACTTGTGAAAACTATTGAAATATTAATGGATTAACAATGTCTAAAATACAGTGAGTTTTTACTGACAAGTTACATCTTTTAGCTCACTTGTTCAGAAGTCTAGTCTTCTGCCATGGTATGTCTACTGTCAACTATCTGTAGCCCCTGAGAAACGGATTTCTACTAAAAGTTTTTATTTTGTGTATTTCTTCTGGTACCAATGAGAAAGGTAGGCAAACTCCATGACTCAAAAACTTTTCTAAATGACTACTTCAAAATTGTATTGGTACCAACTTCGTTTTATTTATTTATTTTTTTTTATGTTCTACCATTGATTTCTCTTGTAGCAATTCCACACTAAGGAATTAACTAAAAAAATCATAGAAAAAATCTCAGATATGAAAAGTTCAGAATTTTGCTGAAACAGGAGATTTACTTAATGCATGTTTGAATTTCAATTTCATGATAAAATTTCATGAACGTTAAACACTGAATAAGCAACAGCTGGATCAACAACATTTATGAAATTTTACTTTTATTTAGAAAAACAAAAAGCATTTATAATCCATATTTGAAGTCTGTATTAAGGACTGGATCACAAATGTTTTTAACAAGATCATGTTATATAGATTTGCGAGGATCGTTTTTAACATCATCAAGCGATATGATTGGCTATTTTGTTGGTTTCAGGAAGAGGCACCCTCATTAGCTTTTGGTTACGTCCTTCTGGCTGTCGTTGTCCTCCTCACTGCTGTCATGGCTGTCCATGGAAGATTCCCATTCTGTCAGCGCTTCCAACCTCGCCGAAGAGTAGTTAGTCTTAAATCTTTAAGTTCTACATTTTCAATGTCCGTAATGAAATCCTGATATTAGTCAAAATTATCTTTTACATATTATAAAACTTTCTACAAACAGAGACTAAACTTTATCCGAATAAGAGAGATTGCATACACCGGGATGGGTATGCTTTATTCAACATTTGACTGTTGTTTGATTTTTATCATATTTTAATTTTTTTTATTCTTGTACACATATCTTGCCTGGGTTTCTAAATATATTTATTTTACTTGGTTGTGATAGAAATTTTTCAGTAGGATTCAGCTAGAATCTCATTTGCTACTATAATTTATGTATAAGGTAAATTTGGCTATTTGGTGTGAATATTATTTTGTTATTTTGACAAATTAATATTTGAGATCAGCATAATTGTATTGTTAAAAACTTCCGCTCACAAAAGATTAAAATCTCTTCTTTGATATTTTCAGTAATCCAATTTCTTTTCTACAAATCAGCTTTATTATACAGCCCTCTTAGGTATTGGGGTAGTCTTAGGTGAGAGGGTATGTAGTAGTTGCTTTTTCTGTGCATGTATGTATTTGTGTACTTGTGTGCGTCGATGATAAACCATGTGCACAAGATATCTCTTAAACCCTTGAAAAGATTTGGTTCATATCCTCACCATGTCATCGTACCACCAATGTCTACACCTGATTAAATTTTGGTGATTGTTGGTGAAGATTAAAGGTCAAAGGCCACCCTGAAATACATTGGAAATCAAAAGCTGTGTACAAGTCATTACATGAACCCCAGAACCCATTTAGTTCAGACCAACATCAAAATTGCAAGGTCTACTAGAGTTTGGTGGTCATTGGTCAAACTTAAAGGTCAAAGGTCACACTTTACCAATAAGAAGTTTGTGTACAAGATTGAAAGTAGGATGTATATCTATGTGACCCCTTTTCACTTTGTTTTTATATTATTTTTAGATAGTTATTTTTCTCAGTCATATTCTGTGAACGGGTGTATTATATATTTATAAAATTGTTCCATGAAACAGTATTTTATAGTGATGTACTTCTTGATAACAATGGAAACAGCATTTGGAAGGATCTATTGTGATATTTAGATTAACCACATGTACATGTATAAGCATATTTACATTGATTGAATTCTGTTTTTTGTTTTGAATGCTGTAGAATATGTTCTATTTAAAAAATGTATTCACTTGAGGATTTTAAACTAAAAAGATAAATTGTCTACATCACAGTTTTTAATTCCATTTCTCAAAGTTTTATACTGTTGTTTTCTGGTGATTTTCACTTTTAAAATATTGTTTACTATTAAAAGTCAGAATGCATCTCAGAAAGTTGAGAGGAAAATGATATAAAGGAGTGCAGAATTAGAATACTTCTCCTTTTTATCAATTCAAGCTCTCTGTATTTTCCGGGCAGTTTTTCAAGTTGATACACACAATTTTGATTTGTACCGGTCTTGAAATCCCTTACTATTTTCTTGTGACATCAACTTTCCCAGCAGTGAACCATTATAATGTATAACATGTTGTTCTGAAACCAAATGTTAACATTTTCTTTTAAACAGGGGAAGAAATTAAATGGAGTTAAGGGTGTATGTCACCTTAAAGTTAGAGTGATCTTTTTTTTAAGAAATTCTCTACCAGGAAACAAAAATAGAAAATATTTTAAATATTGTGAGTTGAACTTCATTAATCTAATAACACCTGATTTGAAAAGCACAAAATGATAGTTTATTACAGTTTGTTGTTAATACGTTGTATTAAGGTTCTTATTGTGAAAGAGGAGATGAGAATATTTGGTATGATTTTTACAGCAGCTTAACATTTAGGGGATTATTACAAAGAGACACTAGTATTATAGAAATCATTATAAATATAAATATCATTGTAAATATGCAACTATATTAAGTATGGCTAATACAGGACTATAAAGCAAACAATATTTTTTTTACAAGTTACTTGTTCCTAGACAAGTGAAATCTGTAGATTTTAATGTTGAACTCAGCATTATAGAAAGTAATTTGGGGGTCAGTAAAAGAAAGAAGAAATGTACCCCCTCATATAGCATGAATACATATGTGGCTTAGAATTAAAAGAGCTCTGTGTTTAGGAAATTAAAGACGGAATCAGAAATCACCAGGAAGCAGTGTCTTGGAAGGGTTAGTTTGCTCCAGATATTGGTTTCTCTTTCACCAGAAAGTTGACACTGTATGACTTGGTTTAATGTATACAATGATATATATATATATGATAAAGTTTATCCATCAATTAGTAAAGAATTCCTGGTTGGATTCTTAACTAGTAATAAGACCAAAGATTATAATTAGTTTTATGAGTATAGCTAACCACCAGTTTGGCGTCTTTATCAATTGACTCTGCCAGTAAACTCTAATGGCACTCTTTTACATGATGGGTGTGTGTAATGTATATACATTCTTGTGGGGAAAATGGTTCACAGAAAAATCCACATGGATGATATTTATGCACTAGATAGATACATGCATTATAGACACTGCTGTGGACTTCAAGTCACTGAGGTTTGCAGTAGTCTGCTTGCCTTGTTTTACCGGTAATTCACAAACATGTATCTTAACTTTCCTCTGAGATTATTAGCATTACTGATAATACCAAAAAAGGAGTATTTAAAACTGTATTTCATTATAAATTTGTATTGAAAAGTTATATACATTTGTGTGTCTTTTATACAATTTTTGTTTTGGTTTATCAATGCTTGTTTTGCTGTGATGGAACAGCTGTTGCCTTCTGTTGACATGTAGTTAGATTTTCACTAACCTAAATAGTTATTTCTTCCGACTTACTTTATTTGAGGTTTATGTCTAATTATGATTAATATAATCAGGTTAAGGTAGAGTAGTCAGAGAAATTAAATTATCATTTGGAATTAATATGAGAACAGATCTGAACATTTTTCCTTAAAACAAAATTATCCCACCATCACTTCTTTTTTATGGACTTATCAAGAGACATTCTTGGCACCTGTCGGCTCTATACCATATTGACGGAATGAAAAAAAGGGCAGTAACACTGGGAGATCGGAATGATCAAGACAGATTTGATTGTCAAAGATTACATTTGAAATAATGCATTATTTTTCATATCAGCATTGAGATGATAATTGAATTTGACATTTGTTGAAGTCTTTATAACTATGATTTTGAAGGGTAATGGGATATTTCTTCCACTCAGAAATTGTTCTAATGTTGCATACCCTATTATTAGTTTCGTGAATTGATACAGAACTGGTATACAGGGACTTTACACAAACTACCAACCCAAAGACCATGTTTAATAGTGGCTATAATATATATATGGACCATGGGTCAGAAATTTATGCAAAGTCCTAGTAGACTGGTATAATATCATCATGTGTGTAAGTGTATAACACCGTTTTCTGTTATGTAACATTCCATGTGTATGGTCAGTTGTGTCAAGGCCTTTCCTGTTGAATATAAAATCATATACAAAAACACCTGCATTTATTGTCTATATCTTAGGAAAAGAAAGAACTGCGTGATATTTTCAAGAAAAATAATACAGAGAATATGAACTGTTATCACCAAGCTGCAAGGTAAACTATGAGGGGTGCTTGATAAGTTGTAAGCTTTGTATTGAAGAAGTTAAGCAGGGATGTCCTGTTTCAGCTCTATGATTCCCTGTCACTGTAAGGCTGTGTACCGAAAGACTGGTGTCATTTGGTCAGTATATGTCATAGAGGTAGCACTCTAAAGTAAATAAGGCATGTGACTTTTGCAAAATGGACAAAATTGCCGAAAAGCGGTTATTCAGTATTTGCATAAGAAAGGTCTAGCACCTAAGCATATACATACTGATATGGTAGCAACACAAGGGAATGATACCCCTTCATATGCTACAGTGAAAAGGTGGGTGACGGAATTTAGGCGTGGCAGACAGAGCCTTAGGGATGATGCCCGTCCTGGAAGGCCTGTCACTGTTGCAGCCCAAGAAATGGCCAATACAGTATATGATATTGTTACAGCTGACAGACGAGTTACAGAGAGATATATAGCCAGTACAGTTGTGCTTTTACGGGAACAGGTACATTCCCTTCTTATGGGAGATGGTTAATCTGAATCCTTCAGTGGCAGATTCTGCTTATTTTCTGCAGAGGTTTGTGACTATGGATGAAACGTAGGTCGAACATTCAACCAAGAAGCCAAACATTAGTTTAAACAATGGAAGCACCCTTGTTCACCCCCGCCAAAGAAGGCAAAGACTGTTCCATCAGCTGGAAAGGTTATAGCCACGATTTTCTGGGATGATGATGATGATGATGATGGTATTTTGATGATAGATTATCTGCAAAAAGGGACACAAATTCAATGGCACATAATATGCATCATTTCTTAGGTAATTAGGGAAAAACAGTCAGGGGGTGTTGTCACCAGAACAGTGCATCAGTTCACAAGTCTGCCATTGCCATGGCTGCCATTAACGATTGTGGCTTTGAATTTATTGAGCATCCGCCTTATTCGTCCGATCTTGCTCCATCAGACTTTCATCGATTTCCAAAATTGAAAAAGGGTCATTTCCAGTACCGCCTTTCGGTCAAATGATGACGCCATACATGCAGTGGAGAACTTTCTAAACGGTCATGATAAAAAATGACTTCATTAAGGCATCGAGGTCCTTAAACATGGTTGGCAAAAGTGTACCAGTTACCTGTGATCAGATTGAAAACCTGACATATGACATCTTCATATAACACAAACTATTTAAAATGGAATTTTTAAAGTGACCATGTCACTTGTCCCTAGTTATTGAATATCAAAGCTAGGGAAATTGGCGCCATTTTTACGAAAGAGAAAGTTAGAAATCAAACCCAAATTGCAAGGTGAGTGTATACATGTATGTGAAAATTAAATTGAGTGATTAAGCAAAATGTTCGTTAAAATATCCTTGTAAAATCTTTGACAAAATCGCGTATAAATAGAGAAATACATCTGTCGAGAGTGGGTCAGGTGTACGCCGTTGTTATATATGGAATACAGGTCTTAACACGTGTACTTACTTTCAACCATGGGAGGACATCTATCCTACTGGTAGGTATATATATCATTTAGTCCTCTATAACGGTTTAATGCTTTCAAGCCCTTATGTGATGCCGATGTCAACGTTCGTACGAATGATACATATATATTTATCAAGCACGGAGATCCAGTACATATAAGAAATGCTGAACAATTTTCTTGCGTTAACGATTGTTTCACAAACTGTAAAAGATACTGTTGATGAAAAATAAGACATTTCTTACCGAAATTTCTCCAATATACTCATTTCTGAAATATAAATCCGATATCTAAAGTTTATTGTAATTAGAAAACAAATGCTGCAATATACGGTGACGACACCTAAGAGAATTCAAAACACACACACATACTAAACCTTGTGAGATACAAAAACTGTGCGAATATCATCTGCGTTCATATTTCAACAACACGGACAGGTTTGTCAACAATGTGTCAACGTACCTCTCTAAAGGCCGACTGGGGACGGGGAGACAATAGAGAGGCCACGCATTGTACATTGTTTAAAGCAGACGATGGAAAATTACTTCTGAGAATACAAATGCATGTGCTTGGAACTTGTTAAATTGTCGTGACAATCTTGAAGATACATAACATCATGGAAAGTCTTTGTGAAATTACTTAAATGCCTATAATCAATACGTGTACACAGACAATATTTCATAACGTTATGTCAACGCTAAAATAGCATTACTTTCATGTCATTTCAACGTCAATACAACGGTATTTTTAACATTAATAATTTTCCCATCTCAGATATTTCAACTTTTAAATAACGTTAAGATATTTTCAAAACGCTATATTAACGTTTAAAAACTTCAACGTTCTTTTGACGTTAAAAGGGATTATCTCACGTTAAGATAACGTTAAACTTTAACGTACGTGCTCGTTTCAAGTTAGTTTGACGTTAAAATTGCGTTATTTAACGCAAGATAAATTGGTAGTGTATATGAGAATACATTGGATACCAAATTCGTTATGTTGCGGCCCAGAATTTCCTCTCTCACTAAACACGAAACTGACTTCAGTTTATAACAGAGGACTAGAAATTGAGACTAGCATGTACGATTTCTTATCACAAATGTGGTTAGGCCATGAAAATAATGGACAATTATACATAGCTGTTGAAAAAATACGTCTATGTATTTCTTTACAAACCGAGGAAATAACAGAAAGAGATTATTATCAACAACACTTCGACACAATTCCTAGCACGATGATCTTGGTCTTTCGAATGTCCTGCTTGTCTACAACATTAAAACGGTGGTGAAGAAAACGTTAAAAATTACTAAACGCAATCATCTTTCAGACATTACACAAAAGATTAGAGCATTTGAAAATCATTTACCAACAATTTAACGTCAGTGAAAGGCAAGAAATCTGATTCTACGGGATGAAGGCAAAGAACACGTGGACAAAACATTTACAAAGAACATGTATCTCCTTTGATCCGGGAAAGTTTAAGAACCTTGAGCTGAAGTATCAGATAGTTGAGTAAACTTTGATGTAGTTTATATTTTTTCTATAAACGCCCTTTCATAGACGCAACACAGATATGTAGTTTCTGTTAACTGCTTTTGATATTTTTCTGTGATGAAGACATCCTTCAGATAATCAGATCCGTTAATTTTCTCTTATATCATTCTGGACCATGTAAATATTACAAGGAAGTCCTATATTATATGAGATGTGTAGTGCTTTAATTTGATAAAATAGGTCAATACATACATAAGCTTGCTATGCATCGCGACTAAATTAAGCATACACCTGGTCATACAATGATCATTCTAGTTTATAATGCTGTTGGATAAATGATCAATGTATTTAAACATATAATATTCCAATGATTTATGTAAATAAATATTTAATTATTTGGTGTCTTTTCTTGTCCCGTCATCGTGAGTTTCCAAACTAAGCATTAAGCCTGCAAGCAGAAATATAGTTAAAACACTCTCAATGGAATATCTGAAAAATGTCCACTACAAAAACAGCACTGTTGTGACAGAGTACCTAGCTAACGAAAGGTCTTTGGTTTGAAATACACGGACCGAACTGTTCCACTTGACTGCACACTCAGAGTAGAAGCTACCAGTAAGTCTTCTATTGTAAATCAGTTGGTCCTGTGTCATGTAATGACGGAAAATGGCTATTCAAAAGGACCAATCTTACCGATGGAAAATTTAACCAACTCGAACCAATCTAGAGTACATAATTTTAAATAACATTCATAGTCTTTATAAATCCTTGATAGGGCACTCGGATTCTTCGGCTGTGTGATGCTAGTTGAATGGCATGCTAGTTTTCAAACTGTTCCTGATTTTGGCTCTTTTTCACCATTTGCAGCGTCATCACTGTCGATCTGAAACAGGAATCGGGTTAAAGGTTCAGGACACATGTATTATGTATGTATTGATAATTATTTTCTTCCACTTAAATGGCATCGGTTTTACAGTCAATGATACTGGGTATATAAAATCGTTACGGTGACATTTCCACTTACCGATACCTTCGTTTTGCTACCCTCTTCTTTGTTCTTTTTGTTCATTTTTGACTCGGCTTTTTCTGTCATTTCTGAGTACGCCGTTTGAGCTTGGGATATGATCGATGCTACATAAGCTAGTCCAACAGTTATCCAAATCAGCGTGAGCAGACGATATGCTATCCGGTATCCGGAATCTTGGGTACCTGTTGGCGGGAAAATAAAAATAAAAACCAGTGATTACATGAAAGAAAAGGAAACACATTTATCTACAACTTTAGTGACAGTTGTGGTGCATTATGTACAGTAGACAGAACCCATGCTGGACAGGCTCACAGGCAATTCGTTTATGTGTTACCGTCCCCACAAATGAATTGCGGAACCTTACTTGATGATTGCACCGGACAGCGTCTTTGTGCCGCGATATTGCAATAACTCCGAGGTCAGTTTACAGGATTTGCTCTGTACAACCATTTACTCATATTGTGCTCGATTCCTTTGTACCTCACTATAAAGGGACACAACTCGATGCACAGTATTTTAAGATTGTGTGATACTATTGTTTAATACAAATATTGATACGTTAAAGCGTAATTAATAATAATGAAAATTGGTCTGGTGTGGTCAAAGCCACATGACGTACGCGTTCAAATTGAATTTGAAACTATCGTGATTATAAAATGACGAGTTGACTGTCCGCTAGTAAAATGGTACCCGCCATCTCTTCCCGAAGGAGTTGCGCAACGCTGCGTCACAACACCATCACCAGTCTGAACAGCTACGATAGGACATAGACCCGTTTCTTGGGCTACGTTTATAAATGCATATATTCATTTGCTCCACCTCATTATGATTTGATACGATATATTACTACTGATCATACGTACCGATTACAAAATCTCCGAATCCTATTGTAGTCAAGGTGATAACACAGTAATACAAAGCCTCTCCATAATTCCAATCCTCAATGGCGGAGAAAATGGCGGCCGGTATCAACAGCAATAGAAGCACAGCGGTTAGAGGAACGAGCAATGCCTTCAGACGGTGCTCGGCGACTTCGTGGTTCTTAGAAAATTTCTTTTTCTGGAACGACTTTGTAAGCCCCGCCAATTTTTCCCCTATTCCTGACAGAAACAATGCACACAGCGGTATCCCGATGATGGCGAAAACAACAATGAAAGCGCGACCCCCAACCGTGGCCGGAGTCTGGTTACCGTAACCTTCAACAGAAACAACATCAAACTTTATTTAGATAGCTGAATTAGGGGTCTCGTGAAAATCATGAGATGATTCCTTTGACAAGTGCGTGGTCAGCTAAAGTGTAAATTGACGTTCTGCCGGTTCGTAGTTAATACACTGCAGTTTAGGCAATACCAGACTAAAATGAATGGCAGTGTTACATTCAACATAAGCTTTGACTGGGAATCATTGCTATATATTACATTGACTTTGACTGTGAATCATTGCTATATACTACATTGACTGGGAATCATTGCTATATACTACATTGACTGGGAATCATTGCTATATACTACATTGACTTTGACTGGGAATCATTGCTATATATTACATTGACTGGGAATCATTGCTATATACTACATTGACTTTGACTGGGAATCATTGCTATATTCTACAATGACTTGGAGTCATTACTGTATTCTGCATTATGCATTAGTTTTGACGGTATTCAATGCTGAAAACTACATGAACTTTGACTTTTGTATTGATGCTAAACATAGTTATCCTATGTTAAATCCATACTTGACGTACATGAAATAGAGTAAACCTATATATTTTTAATTCTCATGATATTGGAATATTGCTGCGAGGTTGTAGACGGCGGTACTATCACTGAGGCAGAAAGACTGCCCGCATTGTCACATGTGCATATTCTTGTACTAACTCTGTTTATCTTACTTTATGACGATGGCGATCACGTCGAAAACTCCAATTGTTCATTTTTTCGAAGAAAGATACACACAATGGCATTACTCCTAATTATCGAAATAATCAATGTAATGTAGAAACCTGCCCAATAACAGACCACAATCACATAACCTATCCTTTTCCTTCTACAATAAGAAATCGATGGCCTCTTGTTTATACCTTTTTAAAGCTAACGATCGATTTTGTCCCAGTGGCTATACAATGATATTCTCCCTTTTATGGAAATAGAAATATTTCTGTGGGTGAAAATGTGCGAAGGTGTGTGTGTGTAAGTGAGGTTGTATGAGAGATAGATAATATACTTAAGCATCATAAATATGCCATATTGAGTGAGATTAGTTCAAAGTGATGTTTCATCGGTAAGAAAAAGCTTGTGTCCAATCTCGCTGCAACTGAACTGGCAATAAACATATACACATTAAACATTTATGATTGAGTGGGTGTCTATCTCAAGCTGGATTCATTTGATGCTCGTTAGTTTGCCTTTTGATTCCGACATTGTATACCATGTTCTCATTTGATAATGTGACATTACTTACTTGGATTGACCAAGGTTTACATGACGGGTGTCGTCGATGAAGCAGAAGACGTTTGGTCTTCCGGAACACCTGGTCTTATTATCCTTTGACTTGTTAATCTTTCTTTTGTTAATAGTTTGTCCTAGTTTTATGGAATTCGAGTTTGAGCATGATAATGTTGTCATGTTGCTATGTTTCTTGACTTTTTCACTTGACTTTACGTTGGAGTGGAAGTCACATTATAATACTGATGATGTTTGACTAGATTGCAATCGCTGTTTGGCCACCAGTCGATGAGATTCAATTTATGTTTAACGAAACATGTTTACAAAGAATGTAGAATATTTGTAAGTTGTTTATAGTTTTAGACGAGTCAATGTTCTTCACTCAATTTGAGTAACCTAAACGAGAGTCAATGTTCTACACTCCATTTTAGCAACGCTTTAAACTCTTTAAAAAGTCCTTCAACTTTAACGGGAGTCCGTGTCATCCTCAACTCCTTTTTTTATTTTTTAACTAGAAACAATGCTACTTCTCTCTTATGCTCCTTGAAATTTCCAATACATCCATTTTTTTGTACAATCATCAGACATGAATGTCAAACAGACCCTTATTCCGTGTATGTTAACTGCGGTCAGCTCACGTCCCTCAGCTATTGATTACCAGCATCTTTTATTTACAATGTTATATATACATATATAAATAGAATATTTTTTACTCCCGTGGACTCAAGGACTACGTGCTAAATCAATAATTAAAGGATGATTGTTGTTTATTTTAAATGCCATACGGATTTAAATTCGATTTGTTCTATATAAAAGCGATTGCGACAACGAAATCAATTTCGAATGTTACAATTTATTTTTATATTTATTGATAATAAGTTTAACGACCTGCTCTCATTTCGAACTCACCGATATTTTACTATGATAACAGAGATTTCTGACTAGGATTTATTAATCTAACACCAGCCATTAAGTGACATTCAAGAGAGAAGGAGGATGAGGGGATATCATGATGCCCCATTCCACAACTCCTAGTACCTTTCACATTTTCTCCTAATCCAGGGATTTCCCTATTGCTCCATTTGGAAAATCCTGAAGACTAGAAAAATTTAAACATCCAACTGAACTACTCTAGTAACTTACCAATAGTAGTGACGGCTGTCATGGCGAAAAACACAGAGTTCCCATAGTCCCAGAGCGAGGCGCTATCTGTCTGATTGGTGGCAATGATACCTTGGTCGTATGCCGTGATCACTGCCCTCACAAATGTTTCCAGTTCCGCGGACGTCACACAAGTCTGTGATGCTAAAAAAGCAAAGAATGTATTACTGAAAGAATGTTTGGGGAAAAAAAGAATTACAGATTTGGAAAGCAAATGTGCCTTTCGTTCATTGTAATACAAACCGAAGTATCGTTTTGACGAGATTTAATGTCCTCGCAACTACCAATGTCATATATTGATAGCCAGATACATGTACCATCAGGGATCTTTACTTAAAAGACTTAAAATCCAAATGTTTGGTTTTCAAAGCTGGTTACACTGAGACCAATCGGTATATTAGCTCACACTGATATTTAGTTGAATCCGGAGCAGAAGTACATGGATGTAATCTGTTAAAACGATATCATTTGAGCCTGTTTACTTCTTACGATAATTTCGATTTATGTGAAAATGAAGCGTTCCCCTTGCTACTAGTTATTAAACGATGACGAAGCAAACTTTTTACATCAGACTGGAGTGTTTCATTAGGCATCAGGAAATCAGAGCTACGACGTCGTGTTAATTTTCATCATTTTATGGTGACAATACACAAAAAATACCAACATGACAACATAATCATAATCATAATCCAATGTCAAATTTAATAAAGCTATTTGGGTATATGAACAAAAGAAAGTTTTACACGGAGACTCCTGCAAAGAGAATAAGACCGGGTGTTCCCTAAGAGTAAGCGTCCTCTGCTCCATAGACGACACCCGCCATGTAAACTTTGGTCCATCCAAGTAAGTAATGTCTCAAATGAGAAATGCCCCGTTTCCAGTTTAAATTTTTCATAATCTCAGGAGACAATGTCACCATGGATACCTTAACCAAGATATATGAAAATGTTCTTTACCTTTAGATACAGAGAGATATTAAGATGGCGTTCAAAAAGAGTCTAGTCACATTTCTAAAATATACCAAAATAAAACCGAACAAATCAAAACGTTCGTGTGTTTAAAAAAGCAGATGAATGTATTGCGCCTGACATGTGCCATTTCGCCTCGAATTAACTATCATTGTCGTCTCTCCGCCCCGCTAATACGTTTTTGAAGCCACACAACGAAATAACGATATCGTTTAACGTTATTTTGCCCTATCGCTGTGACTATGTGACAATTATCAGCTACTATATAACCAGACATCTTACCTAAAAAGTTGGTGAATGTGGATCTACTGGTTGTCTTGGTGTCCGATTCGTAGGAAGATTCTAGCGCCATCATGACAGCACCCCCTATCAGGACGTACACCACAAGCGCCAATCCAAGAAATAACAGCGTCAGTTTCTCCATGTGTGATTCTTGTATGTCAGTGTTTCACGACGATTTCTTATCACTTTTGAAAATATATGTGGAACAGGATTCATATATCACACACGAACCTCATAAGTCCATATTCTTTTTATTCTCTTTTACACTACATGTTACCTGAAATAAGATTCAGAATAAATTTGTCATTGGTGATTTTAAAAACTCAATTTCACCTTAACACTTCGCATTAAGAATGTTGTGTCGCGAAGCTCATTTCACTCGCCATATTACGACACAAATAATGACGTTTGTAAGTTCACGTTATACACAGGTCTGTGTACATGACTACATATGTAGTGTATATTATCATTGCTCACCTGTATAGTAAATAATGAACACATCCCTGAAGAACATGCCAATACATGACACACATTAAACTATTGATCGAAATCAACCATGGAAACCATTGTGTATTGATAGATTAAATTCTGAACACTCAAAAATTCCGCACGTCGTATTTCATAAATAGATTTAAATTAAAAGTTACACTTTCTGGACTAAAAACGTCAGTAAAGAAGGGAAAAAAACGAAAATATTTTGCATTTTTGAAAATTAATTTGAAATCTAAATTACGATCTATTTACGGATCTAAGTTTTTTTTCATGTGCACATATAAAATAACAAAGAAATACTGGCATGTAAAAAATTTGTAAACACATATGACTAACACATAACGTAAGGCCATTGTCGGAGTTTTCATTCAGTCTTTTTAAAGCTGTCGTATTTGTTTTCTTCCGTTGACGAAATAAGTTCCATTCAGTAAACAATATAGATCTATTTTCGTAAAGAATATTTCATCGTTTTCAATAGTTTTGTGAAATTAAGACAGAGGCGAAAATAATCAATATATGACAATGTGTTAATTTCTTGAACACATGACCTAGAGATGTTTCCCTAACACTAGGTAACACACAGCGGTCGTTATGGCTGAGACTTCCAGGTTTGGCTTGCCATATTCTGCCTCTGTTCCAACATTATTGATTGCACAAAAAGACACATATCAGATTAAGTGTGGTGCGCTGTAACCACGCTGTAATATATAAAACCACTTAACCCTTGCTTCAATATTCAGGGTATTTCCGAGTAGACCACGAGTATTTTTTTTTTTTTTACCTTTTTCATCCATTGTCTGTGGTTTGGTTATATTCGACAAAAAAAAAGGCAGTTCCCAAAATAAATGTTATGATATGTATGGATGCATTTTCATTACACATAATCTTGATGAAAATACATCAAACGGAAAAAAGCCAACCAAGAACCAGACACCGAACAGAAATATTACATTAAGATATCTTACCAGACCATAGATCATCACAAGTTAATAAGATGTCTTCATGTTCGTTGAAATATATAATTGCACATTAATAGTTGTAGTATACATTTCGTAACTTTAAAAAATCTACAAAGTCTGCTATAAATCACTGAAGCACGAGATAACGAAATAAAATCTATTTAACTAATTTTCGTTTACTTTCATTAAACGATGTCAAAAAATATTTACCAATGTTGTCTAGCAAACCAAACTTACACAGAACTGATATTATGCATATCACCATATACAAACAACAGGCGCGTAGCTATACACTTGACTTAGGTAAGGTAATAGCGAGTGAGACACTCCACGTTACGCTGTTTACGTATCTACACTTTACATGTTTACAGATTGTCGAGACAGACTTTCAGACGTGGCAGGAAGGATGAAAATATTATAGTAGAGAAGAGTTAGGAATAACGTCCCGAATCTTGTGCTGTTAAACATTTAATAGATAGATACATAAGTATATTTATTCAACTACTAGTAAACCGGGTGTAGGCTGTAACGCGCGGTACCGCGGGAGATTCGTTAGTTAGTAGAGAGAGGGGGATCGGTTTTTACGTGATGGGATCGCTTTCCAAAGGATTGTGCAGAGTGGTTTGGAAAATTTTGATATTTTTGTTGATGTTGTATAGCAATATAACTAAAACACCACGGAACATTGCACCTACCATTAGACGTACATGTTTTGGTTCTTCGAAATCCAAAGGTTTGACCATCACCCGTGGAATCTTTCCTACCTACCTACCTACGGTAGTTTCAATTCAATAAGAAGCCCGCGCCAGTTTAATGGTTTTAAATTTACATTTAGTTTTCTTTTCCAATTAATCAAATAACTTGTCTTGAGCCTCCGATTTTGTAACGACTTTATTCCAAGGATGAGTTAAAGATTTGGTTTGTAGATGGTGGATACAGCTAGAGAAAATCCTAAATTATCAAAAACCCATAACCGTTAAAATCCTATATTCGTTTTTTCTGTGTGTATGGATTAAATGCTTACGAGAATTCAGTTGATGGCTGTGTACCATGATGTTCCTCTTGTGATAGAGGGATCCCCGGCCAATTTACCTCGTCTTAGATCATTACATGATATATTAACATCATGAATCAGTTGTTTTTTCTTCGTTCTCGGATGGCTACTATCTGCACCAGATGTTTCTCTCTCCTTATGATCAGTCTTCTATTATACAACTTAAAATATTTTTTCCACGTGGCACAGAAACAAAAATCAACTAAATCGCGATGTTATCACGGACCTTGCTTACAATCTATATTCATATTTTTTTTTTAATTCAATACGATTTTTTTACTTGGGTGCTTCCCTGTGTAACCGTGGATATGAATGACCAAGGCCGCCGTCTCACCTCTGCTAATCAAGCAGCTAGTTCACCGCACCAAGTCGCATAGAAATTTATTTTCACGCTATTGCCTCCATTGACATTACATATCGTAAATACGTGTAAGTTGTATATAGTCCTTACATACAATCGGGATCAAAATATAGGACGTGTATAATATTCATATTAAAGTGAAGTGCGGATCACAATTACCTTCGGTCTACTTTCAGCCAATTAATCACAAGACGAATACCTACAGGTGTATAGCACCTACTCATATTTGGAGTTCTTACATTTTGTAATAATTCTAGATCACTTGTCAAATTTTTAGTACTTCAATATTTTTAGTCACACGTGCATAAAACTAGTGATTTGTATGTGTGTTAATAAATCTAACACCACGTCCACCCGGGTTACTGGGGATGGAAACAATTGGAAAAAAGTGAAAAGATTAAGTGGTTTCTGTTCGCTTGTGTGACAAGGATGTCTTTCTGGTTAGCCGATCGATCTTTTTGTATGACACATGAAATATATAGATAGGCAAATCTGAAAGCCATCTTTGTCACAATATGTTGCCATGAATTAATTAAACCCTGAAATACTGATAATCTTTGTAGTTCGTGATTGATAAAATCATATTTTACATCCCATGTCCTCGCACACCTCCTATCTCGTTCACCCCCATGTCCACCCTCAATCATATACACAGCTCTCCACCCCAAATACATAGCTCTCCACCCCAAATACACAGCTCTCCAGCCCAAATACATTAACGAGTCATTCGTTCGTCATATAATGTAACTACACAACAGGAATGTACGACATGTTTGTTTGTTTTTGTGGGTTTTTTTCTGACATGAATAATTCAATCATATGTATGTAGCTTTGAAAACTTGATTATACACATATAAAAAATGTATACTTACCTCGATATTTTTCCTTCATGTCTTCAAGTGCGTTACCGTGTACACAGGAACAGGTGTGCTTAGGTAGGAGTGTCAACTGTCGCCAAATTACGTGTGGGTGGTGTTTAATTCAGTACTTAAAGTTGACGAAAACGCTATAGAACAGTGCAAATGTATATGGAAAACATGGTTAGATATACATGGCACATAATCCAAATATTTAAAATCAACCTTGATACATAAGTTTGGCTTGATCTCGGCGAAAACCTGAAATAGGTGGAAATAAAAGCTTGGTCGTCACGGTCGAGTAGACTTTCGGTTAGAATTGCTAGTCAACATACAACAGTTAACATACTCCAACACGGGTTTGTTTGAAAGTAAATAAAACAAAGATTTTCATTGTACACAAAAGGTGCCCGTTACCTGTCTATTCTGAGTAGGGACGGTAGGTCAGTAGGTAAATAAATTACTATAACCGCAAAACATATATGGTTATCATATTTTTTAATGAGAATTATCAGAGCATTGTAACTACCCAGGTACATTATGTTCAAATCACACGGGCTAAAACACGTATCGTAGCTGTACACATTGTCTCAAAAAGACGTGAAAGATTCGTGGTGTCATACGCATTGATATGTTTTTTGTAAAGGGAGGATATCTTAAACCAGTCTAAATAACGTTTTCCACGAATGATTGCAAAATAGTTAAAATATGAGAGAGAGAGAGAGAGAGAGTGTGTGTGTGTGTCGAATTAGAAAGGTCTCGCTTTACCATAAGTGTATTTCAACCTTCAAGAATTCTGTATCAGATGAAAATATTTTCAGGGAAAATTGTAAACCATTAAAGTAATGTAAGTATTGATCCAATGGTGCTTTTTTTTTTATAACAATTGGCGATCGACATACAGCCAGCGTAGATATATCGTATATCCATCTCGTTAAACTCTTTGGTTGTTGGCGACATCTGGACCAGTGACATGAGAAATTCCAGACAAGGCGTAAACATTATGTGGATTCTAACAGCCTTGTGATATGGATCGGCTCGTCAAATACAAATATTTTCTGTGCATATTGATTTCGAATAAGTTTATTAACGTGTAAATATATCTGTACTTTAAAACAGCCAGAATCGACATATTTAATGAGGTAAAAGAACATAAGACCATAATACATTTTCGGAGAGGTAGGTACCTTTCGCTCCATCGACGATTTTTTCGCAATATATATTAAGCTCAAAACCAAACAATGTCACGTCCTAAAGGCAAGCCGTTACTATCAATTACATTAATGACCCATTGTTACTTTTGTTATATGTTTACACCACTGCTCGGCAGCTCATATTGCTTTCTTACATTAACGGAAGTTTTCAATTTAGTAAACAGATGTGACATTTTTAAGTAAATATTATTTCTTGGTGACCATTATGACGATATTCTTATATACTCTATGGGAACGTATTTCGTGAATAAAGTTTACGTGCAACGAATATCGTCTTTGAGACTATATTTCATCACATGTTCAAAAATGGCACGTGTTTACAAAGTTGGGCACTTAGTCTCCGGCGTTCAGTTGCCGCTGCAGTTGGTATAGCTGTTGATTATCGCGCCAATTATATTCTGCACTTTGGTCCAATGTGTGCAAATACTGAGAAATTTGGATATGGTTGCTTGCACGTTCTCCTTATAACAACGAGAATTTCATTATCAAGACAATTCAACACTTCCAACATTTATTATTGTATGGTATGGTGAAGCTCCTATATAAAAAGTTACAGTACTGAAATGTGATCCGATACCGTTCGTAATCAACATCAGTACAAACTGGACGGTAGATTTCAACAAACAAACCGGTTATACCGTAAAAGTGGTTCTCAGATTTCTAAAAATCAAACAATACATATACAATGAATGTACATATGTATTGTCTTGAATTGTTCTCTAACCACGAAACCAATTCATCGTGAAGCGATATGGCCGGCTGGCATGATTTGTCGCTCCACCCAATTCATTTTGTGAGGAGTGTCTAGCTACATACCTCAGAGATTCAATGGAGGTTGTGACGCTAGCCCCTTCATCCATCTAACTTAACACCAATGTAAAAAAAAACCCTTTTCTCAACGGACACATTTAACAAGAGGGCCTTAAATGTCACCCGAGGTCTTCACGTCTTTGGACAGTTTTTGAACCTGGCCATATGTCCCAGCATTGGAGCAAGCAGAACAAAACTGATACATGCATACTTAAAAGGTTTTATTGTTGGAAGGTTGAATATTTTCCATTAAACGGAACTAATGAAACTGTCTGTAGTTGTTGTTAAGCATATTTGACAACTGTGACCTTGAATGAAGGTCAAGGTAATTGATTTAACAAAAAATGATAGCCCTGCATCCCAATATCATGACTATGGGCCATTTAGTTATTGAGAAGTCATTTAAATATTTTCACACATTACACATTTGACCCAAGTGACATTGAAAAAAGGTCAAGGTCATTAATTTGAACAAACTTAGTGGCCCTTTATCCCAGAATGCTAATGACCCAATACCATGACCCTGGGTCTTTTGGTTATTGAGATGAGGTTGAAAATGTAGCTTGTTTAAGACATACGATGGACGACACTGGACAAAAGGCGATCGCATTAGGTCATCTGAGACTTTATGGCTCAGGTGACCTAAAAATCTAATTTTGATCAAATTTGATCTGTCAGTTCACCTAATGCTTTTATTTTTTGCCTGGCGTGTAGGTGTGTTTTTTGTTTTGTTTTTGTTTTTTGTTTGTTTTTTCGCCCGATGTGTAGAAGTGTAAATTTTTGCCTGGAGTGTAGAAGTGTATTATTTTCCTCATGAAGAGGTGTATTTTGCCTGGTCTGTACAAAGAGAAGAACAACATGTTTACTTTCATTTTTTACTATAATTTGAGTTTGATTACAAGTCTAATCCCTGAAGTGGACTAGCAAATTATTAGTTACAATATCCATTACATGTGACCGGCTCTAGACAGGTGATGAGGTTATATACACCTACCAACCTATCAATGATAATATGTATTCTCCTCAAGTGAAACAGCATGTTTACCCACACGTACGAAATGACTTACTGTTATTTTCTAGCAATCAGAATCTTAAACAATATCTTACCCAAGGCTAAACAATATCTCGCCGGAGGTTTTTTCCAGATCCAACCTGAGGTAATATTAACCAACATCATGATGTGTAAATATGATAGAGTCAGGTCCATTGATTAGTAATACATAAAGTTAAAGTTTGAAACCAACTTTTGGTCCCTCCACATAATAAGTTCATTCTTACAAATGTAACACTATTGTATTATTGTCATCCCTGCTGGTATCCCACAGTAGTTTTGTTTCATACCTGATCTCCATCGTTGACCACCGGTTAGGAATATTTGATCCTCAGACCCAGTTGGTTCCTGATAGCACAAAATTCAACACTTGGGTCCTGCTAGAACCAGGAAATTTAACCCTAGGGACCATCTGGTACCTGACTGCTGAACGATAAGGATCAGCAGGTACAAGTTATTTGACCCCTAGGGGAACGACCTTGTACATTTTATGTACCTGACAACCAGCAACCAGCTGGGAACAGATTTAACTCTAGAGACCTAGTAGGAACAATACAACCCAGGGGACCATCTTGAACTTTAAAATTGAACCCAAGAGATAGGCTGAAAGCCGAAAAACCAATCCTAGGGATCATATAAGACCTGACAACTTAACCCTAAGCCAAACTAGAACCAGACATTATATATCTAGGGACCACCTGATAATTAACAATTCAACCTTTTGTAGGGACCCAAGAGATGAGCTTGTATCTGATAATTTAACCCTACGATCCAGCTGGCTGCACCTGAAACGCAGCTGAAACATTTCAATTTAACCCTATGATTTATATTCAGCCTCAAAATTTAACCCAAGGGACCAAATGGAACCAGACAATCTAAGCGTAGGGACCAGCAGTTATTTGACAATTTGACCCTCGAGACCAGCTAGGACCTGATTTTTCCCCCCTAATGACTAGCTGTTAACTGAGAGTTTGACCTTAGGGACCAGCTAGAACCTAACAATTTAACCCTTGGACCAGTAGGAACCAGATAATTGAACTCATGGACCAGGTAGAACCTGTCAATTTAACCTTAGGGACAGGCTGGAACCTGACAATTTAACCCTTGGACCAGCTGGAACCTGACACTTTAAATCTTGGACCAGCTGGAACCTGACACTTTAAATCTTGGACCAGCTGGAACCTGACACTTTAAAACTTGGACCAGCTGGAACCTGACACTTTAAATCTTGGACCAGCTGGAACCTGACACTTTAAATCTTGGACCAGCTGGAACCCGATAAATAACCATAAGGGATTCAAAATCCTAATTTGCTTAAATTAGCCATTACAGTTTTATTTTCATTATTTCCAATGTTGAAACTGTACATATTGAAATATCAAAACGAATGACGAAGACAAAGAACATGAAATATGAATATCTAGACAATAAATTACTATTTTGATCATTTTAGCCAGCCAGTCCATACTAATTAGGTACAAAACAGTTTAGAAAATGTATCATTGAATTAAAGCCATATTTGGTATATGGAGATTGATGGAATAATTTGCTTACAAATTTTTCAAAGTATTAATATGAAATGAGTCATTCTCCTGACAGAAGGCTATACATGGAGAGTTACTGGATGCAGACAAAATCAAATAAAAAATAAGTAGTTTTTGCAATATCAAGTATTAAAATCAGTAGAAAAATTGCACAAATCCCATTGTCTAAGTTTGGTAGCACAGAATCGCCATCTACTTTTCAATCAACCTGAGTAGTTTTCCAAATTTTACTTATGACATTGTAGGTTTATTTGTGTAAATACTTTAATGCATATTGTTATATCATCTCCCTATATTAGGCCCCAGTTTTAGGGACATTTCATAACTAATGCTTGTCAAAAGAAAACAATTATTGAGATTCAGAGTAAATCTTAATGAAGAATGTTTTCTTAAATACTGTAATGTTTTCCTGTAAACATTCATGAAACTGTGGTATAGTTAAAAGCACTTCAGAGGGTAAATATATTATAAATTACCAAAAAGTATTGAAAACACTGTAAAACATGTGTGAAATTTTTGCTCAAAAATGAAAATTTTGTGTTTCAAAAAAAAATCTTTGAAAATGTTAAGAATTACAAATCACCAAAATGCTTTTTCATTACTTAAATAAATCCAATGACAAATTCAAGTTTACAGCAAAATAAAGTTTCAGAACGTATTGTCCGATTATTTATGGAGAAATGACAAATGATTAAATCCACCATTGTGATGACCTCATTTGAACAAAAATTTCCACTAAACAGTTGTTCACTTTATATATATAATTATGTAAGGTGTTCCATATTTTGACATTTTATGCAGATACTAACACAAAGTTGTTCACAGCTTTTGCTTTACAGAGTACACCTGCACTCAATGATTTCTGGTATTTACCTGTATTACATGAATACAAAAAATTCAGTGTTCGGGTCAAATTTTACTGACATCTGACATAGCAGCAATACCTGAGCAAATTAAGACTAAAAATTCTTTGTGTGTGTAACACCATGAACACTTGAGTGATGGATTTTTCAGATGTATTCATATATATATATCTATAAATATTTGATTGTCGTCTCAGCATTTCAAGCTACATGTGGTATGATTCATACCACGTTTAGTAACCAGGCCATTATTAGCTGGTCCTCAACAACTTTGGTTTTGGACACCATAATATATCTCAGATGAGAACAAAACAAAGATAAAACGGTTATGATAATATGGAAAAGTTATCTGTAAGTCCCCCTAAAACCCAACTTTAATCTTGCCTGGTAAATTTAATCCTCATTTGATAAAAATTGAATCTTCTGCGGCAGTTAAAACTGAAGGACATTTAAACGCCTTACAAGAATTTTCTTATTCATTATGTATCAATGCCCAATACAACATTTTGTAAAAGAAATACAACCCTTACATTTGAATCTCCTCTTTTTAAGAGACATTGTCTACAATGCGTAGTTGAAAAAAAATAAATATCATATGCATAAATATACTGGCATCAGTTACACATTAAAAATACAAGCACATTCACTACATGTATGAGTTATCTTTCTTGGTATTTTTTCAAGTCTTTTAAAATTATGATTTACTGCAATGATGTGAACTGTTCACAAGTGTATCAAATTAAGTTAAGTTACATTCCCCTGTCATGTAAAGATAATTTACATATCTCTTAGTGAAGAACTCTCTTTTCTGGAGATACCCTTCATCTTCAAGGTAGCATACATCTTTAAACCATTTAACAATAGAAATTTAACCGTATGCATGGCACTTTTTTCAAAACATTTATCATTTCTGAAATAAATTAATAATGACTACTACTGCACAATATTTTGCTATTCATAATATGACATAAAAAAATGAAAGTGTAAAATCATGTTTTGGTCAAGGTAACATTTGAATAATTTGTATCCATATCTGAACTCACAATCAACAAATGAAGCACAATATTTTCAAAAAAACGAAAAAAGCTTTCAAGATTATTAACATGCAATGTAAAGTTAAAGAATATATTATCAAGTGAAAACTTCTTTTGTCAATAATTACATGATCTGTTGTCAATTTTGAACATATGGTCAGTATTAGTTCATTTAACCACATCAATTGTTCTAATTTTACCAACCTTCTAGTACACAAATATTCCTGAGAACCTCATATGTCATCAAACAAATATGTGTAGTGATCTAATTAACTCACTAGTTAAGTACCTTACTCATGTAAAAGTGGTGAATGTTACATACTGTAGGCAATATTTTATGATGTCACACATAATCTCTTTTGGCACAAACTACACACAGTGCTGGGACAATATACTGTGCTCCTTCAATGCCATACTGGTGTGTTCATACTTTATACTAAGCTGAATCAAAGATACTTTTTCAGTCAATCTTTCTCTCCTTAATCATATGATCCATGCCTGCCTGAAAACCAATTTTATACCGAGATTGGTACTTTCCTTGTACATTCTAGCAGTTTCAGATTTGTGATCGGAATGTTGTATACAACTTTCACCATTTTTAATTTTTTTTTGGTGTCAGCAGTCTAAATATAGTTTTCAATGACTTCATACTTTACATTTCCTTTCCTTACTGGTCCCAGTTCCATCAACCATTCCTAACATAAGAAAATCATTCAAATCTTAATATATCAAAACATCATTTGAGTTACAAGAAAAATCTTAATTTTCCTACCCTCTGCAACGTATTCACAAAAGCAAATAGGAGACCCCAAGAATCTGTAATCAATGTTCATCACAAACACAATTATTGTTCATCACCAATGCATTAACATATACACCACAGTTATGACTCAGACTATTAATAAATTGCACTTTTCCAGCAAAAATCCTGCTTCTTGAATTTTCAGTTTCCCACAAGGTGTCTTTCACAAGGTTTTCAGAAATTTTGACCCCTGTGTACTTGACAACAGGTCAAGGAAAATGTTTTTTCTCAAACTGTTTGGAGTGTCATTCCAGGAACCTACCAGCCAAATATCATGACTCTAGGTCTGCTGGTTATTGAGAAGTTGATTTTTGAACAGACTTCACCACACCATCAGCTTACAAGCACTTCAGACAGGAGTGCAAAAACTGTGCAACATACAAGACAACTATTGCAGTAGTAAATATGCATCAGTATATACATTTACTATAGACCTGACATTAGAAATCAAACATTTCCACATAATGAGTCCCAAATAAATTCCAAACTTATTTATAACAGTTAAGTGTTACACAAGTTTGTTTGATTTGAATTCCTGAATCACAGTGAACTGTCCCAGCACTAAGATCATACATATATTACATTACACAAAACAACATTTTATTTCATGCAGACATTATCATTTATGTTACAAGGTATAACCTATGTCACTTCTATTCTTTACTCTAGAAATATTGATTTCATACAATTAATTATAACAACTGGTCCAAGAGACAGGCATTGTTATTTTTTTTTCAAACTTAGATACTTTTTTCAACTTTATCATCTCAAAACATGTAACCTATCTGAGATTAACACTGCAGCTCAAAAAATATGTCTGCCAATCTGATCCTCTTACACTTCTATACTTGGGTTATTGTTAAAAAATGTACAACAGTCATATTTCTCCTAATTATGACATGGAACTGATTTGAAAATTGTCAGTGTTCATTCTTTTACCTCAGCTACAAACAAGATTCCACTGCATACAAATTAATGGCCAATTACAAAAGCCTCATCTTTAATGGACCAGTACAACAAAGTTCAAATGTTAGTCAGTGTGCACTGGCAAGGTCACTGTGGGTGTAACTTGTGCTCTTGGACCAGCCAAAGACACAGAAATTTTGTTCAATACACAATACTCAAGCAGCAGAGTGATCTCCCTTGTGTGTTGGATACAAGTCTATGTAATATATAAGAGTGTGAATCAATACTATAAGGCTACAACAGTCAGTTTCTCCACCAGCTTATAAATACTATATAAAATCAGGGATGTTTGTACAATAAATTTCTATCCCTTTTGTTATATAGCCTGTATTCTAGGTACAAAGTATAAACAATAAACCTACATCCATTCTACTGTCTGTATCTATACTGTACAGCAGTGCATATATCTCATTACACATGTAAAGCTTTCTAAGTAACTGCATACTATGTATCTTATATAACAATTCCTTATGACTGTTCACAAAACAATTCAAAACTAATATTTTGGACTACTGAACTTAAGATTCATAGCGTAACATGTCACATAATGCTCAACTATTACAAAGTTCTTATGAGTGACCAGTAGCTTTAATGATTGTCCAGTGTTTTCTTACAACTGACTATAAGTTCCTTCTATCAAAACTGACCAATCTTCTACCATCACATAATCATAGTCTTTTGGTCAAGAACTTGACCAGTCTTTAAAAGAATGACCATTAGGTTCATTTGGTCAAACACTGACCAGTAAATTCCACAAAATAATAATAAATAAGACACTATCACAGTAGTTATTAAGAGTATTCCTAAGGTCTCCCATCGTCAGTTTTTCTTGTTCTTCGGCATGTTTGGACTCTCTGGTGGCGTCGTTACACTTGATGACTTAGATGATGATGACTTGCGACCCTTTAGGGACAGCCGTCTTGCCGTCCGTGTGATCATGTTGTTTTCAAATATTGTTCCAGAGTCACTACCTGTTGGCGCAAAGAAATAAATAATTACCGTTAATTATCATCAGTTTAAGAATTTGCTCAACTTTGCTTCCTTCACATGCTTCTTGTATATCTATCACAAAATCAAGACGGAAAATATAAATTAAAACACATTATTGTTTTGGGCAAAAATATGGTAAATTTTATTGCTTAGAGAATTGAAAAAATCTTTTTTATAAGATAGGAGTAGACTAAAATCAGGAGTGGAAATATCAAGGGTATCATTAAACCAACTTTCAATGTTTAACACCCTCCATACAACCACACCACAACCCGTCATTCCAAGCATACACAGACAACCCTTGTACCAGTTCTAAAGAAATTAATCGGAATGAATACAATTTTAAATATTTTCCACCAAATGTTCATGTGCATTAAACTTTTCATGTGCATTAAACTTTTCATGTGTATTAATCTTTTTTTTCTGTTGATTAATTACTGAATAAGCATTTTTCATTTTCTTTATGATTTGGGTCCTCTAAATATATAAATATGGATACTAATATTGCGTATTTCAAATTCATGCACTTACAAATCTTCGATCAAGATTACGCTTAGGAGGGACCAAAAAGAAACCATAAGCTCCCAAATATTCTTGTGTTCAAATAGTTGTTTACAGCAATGGAGGAAATAACCTCAGACACCATGACAAGCAATGGACTAAAATTTTGTCTTGCTCACTCTAGAACCTGTCCTGTGTTACCTCCCCTTACATAACAATAGTGGGAATCTAAAGTCAAGTGTACCGACACAATTAATCTGAAGCAACAGTAAACACATCTCTTACCTGTAGATAAAATGCTAACATCAATCATACTTACGGTATTTCTACATTTTTTTTTGTTTTCCTCTGAAAACAAATGCTCTGAAAAGTTTTTGTACATTCTGCCAATATAGGGATGTCTGCTACTTATATCAATAACATATTTGTACTATCAACAAATTGCAAATTGATGAAATATTCAAACAGAAAATGTAAATGCTTTAATACTTAAAAATGGGGTCATTTCTACCAGGTGACATTGGCATACAATTCTTCATTAAATGCAGTTGTGCATGTTTTGTCAAGATTAAATTAAATGTTAGGCACTGAAATTAGCTAAAAGGTTGCTTATAATGAAAATATTGTCTTGAAATATTAGCGATTTAAAAAATATTTTATAGAAAGTTTAAGTATAATTGTAAGGAAGAAGATTTCTATTGTCATAAAGATAGTTTGAAAAAGAAGTGAGCTCTCAGGAACATTCAACATTCATCGATACACATGACAAAGTATTAACTGTGAACAAGCATGCATTTAACTATAGTTATCATTTGAATGCATCAATCATTTGATGTTGTATGCAATATTGTTCCCATGCTATCAACACTATTCTTATATGACTGATAATCGGTTTGTAAAAGCAACATTCATCATAGTCATATATACAATCAAGGAAGAGCTATGAAAGCTTTATAAAGTCCCTCAACTCCCATCAAAAGTTAGAATTAAAAAGTGCCAAAAATCTGTACGTAGCTGGAAAACTTTATCCAACTTAAGTATGTGATACTCTGCTTAACTTAATATTCATCATAAAAATCTTCAGAAATTGTTGGTGACACATTTTATGAGATATGACATGAAAACAACTATACGTGGTGAACAGAGAACCTTTACTTTCTACATAGAAGGGATTTAGACCCGACATTAAAATGTGAAGTGATCATCTGTCAAATTTGGCTGTTACTAGTGAAAGAGTGTACAGGGTATGTACAATGATATGCTGCGATAGAACTTGAGAAACACTATGTAAGATATCCATCCAACATTAAGAAGAATCTTATCCCAGTCAATACCTATCTGCTTGTTTTTCTAGGCTAACAAATATCCAAATTTCTTACAACTCTGCACTGCCTAATGATGGGACCTGATGGTTTGACGCTGTCAGGTTTCCATCAGACCGTGCAGGGTCTGAGGAAACTAGGACTAGGCAGAATTAGGATTTTTTTCCTGCTGTACATAATAAAGTATAACATTATATTTGTCATCACTATCATTAAAAGCAAACAGGCACATTTTGGATATATATAATACAGGCATGCACCAATAGTAATAACTGGTTCTTTGTTTTCCAGAAATTGTGTTAGGAATATACTTTCAGATAAGGACTTTATGCTTACATATTAAAGATGTTTGAGATTTAAAATCCTATACCATTGATTAAAAAGAATTTTTTTTTTATAGATTTCATGAAAATTTTTTTTTATGAAAATCTGATGGTGATAATGCACAGAAAGTTGGCTTTATAGCCTGAAAGCTTTAAATAACCAGAACTTCAAATTATGAAATTGAATTTTTCAATAAATAATAGAAAAAACTAAAGTTATCAACTCACTCATTGTATCATATAAACTCATTATTTAGACAGCCATGCTACCTTAAACATATTTCTTTAATCCAATTTTCACCAACATAATGAAAATTGTTCTTGCTGAAATATGCAGATAAACATATAGCTCAAATTGTCTAGGCAGATCTACTGCCTGACGGAGTGAAAGACAGACATTAAAGTTCTGGACTTTATTAAAACTTCTTTTAAATAACGGACCTCTTCAAAGGACCCAATTGAATCTTAATTACATATTACCAGATTCTACAAAAAAAACCTGTTATGTGGGTTTTACTTCTCAAAATACCATTGTATGTAGATAACTTAACACAAACTACAGTAAAACAAAAATACACTTGATGTTGCACATTACCCCCCCCCCCCCCCCCCCACCCACCAATCCACTATTCATGTTAAAAAGATTGACATTACATTTTCCTTTTTAGTTAAAACAAACTCTTTCCATCTTTATTTTCCAATAAATCAAAATAAAAAACATCTTTATTTCAACTGGACATTATGACATTATAACAGGGTACCACCTTGTGTAATTCACAGTCAGATTTCTATGCAGAGGTTAGAAATTCCAAACCCCATGCTCAGTATAAAATGTATGATATTCTCAATACATATTAAAAGATCATAGGATTAAGAGTTTATGACAAGTTCCTGTGTGTTTATTGATTTATATGTTGATCATTAGTTGAAGAAAATGATGGTGTGTGAAACAACTTCAAAAATGTCAAATTGTTTCAAAGAACTTTCTGCACACTTGTCAGAATATACATGAAACTACAGAACAATGTGGTATTATAACCAGTAATCAGAATATCTAAAGGATAACACGTGTTCAAAACTTGTTTTGTCATGTTCTCTTCAGCTACGCTCTACCTGAAGAAAAACGGTCACATCTTGAAGTCAATCAATAAGAAAACCTTCATACATAGCAGTAACAAAAGGCTCCATGCATACTAACAGGCCAACCATTCGCTCAGATGATCGTGCAAGAAAAGCACGCTGTCATAACACAACTAGAATCAATAAAATCACTTACATTCAATTGCATATAGATATTTCATAAGCTGCCAACCTAAAGACATAGGTGACCAGGTTAAATCTCTCACCGTAACAGAAACTTCGACATCAGTCTTGCCCCTAGCGTGGGTGCCATCTCTTCCTTCAGCAAATTATTGAGCTGCTCATTCAATTATTTGTTATCCATGTTAAGTTACATGGCTTTCTTAATTTCATGAATAAATACATTTTGGGCAAGAAATGAATAAAAAATTAAGATTTCTTTCATTAAATATTATATGCATGTATACATTTCATTCATTCATGAAGTCAGATTGGATTATCTACCCTGCTTGTAGGTCCCACTCAGTTCCTTATGTTCTGTCATTGATTTTTGGCTTTTTGTGTACATGTCAAATTTCAAAAGTGAAAATTTCAATCATTTTTTTTTTTTTTACAAAATATCAATATTTAAATTGTAAATTTTCAGACAGTGAATGATTATGTTGAAATATTCACTTTACTTTTTAGCTACTTTCTATCTCCTTTAAGGGGCTTGGTACATGTGTCGGGTAAAACATGTACTGTACATATGTACAGCTTGATTAAACACATGTGCAAACATTTAAATATCTTCAAACCAGAAGTAATCAGAATTTTGTGCCATGTAACGCAGCATAGTGACAAATTAAAAAAAAAAACAAACAAAAAAACATAAAAAAAATCCAGCAGGGAAATTAACAATACATTCAGCGATAAAAACATAAAAAGAATGTTTCGAAATAAAATCAAAACATGCATCAAACATGCCTGACTGAAATTGTACAACAAAAACTATAACATAAACAAACTGAAATGTTAGGAAAAAAATTGTTCAAAATGACAAATTGTGATGTACATGAGAAACACTGCTATCTAAAATGAGATCCAGCGGATTCAAAATTTCTATCACAGAAATAGTAACGATGACATTGGAAATGATGATGAATAATTCCAACATGATTATGATAAATTTTGTATCAAGAGTATGATGATAATGTTCCTTAATGATGTATGTTTAAAAAATGATATAGGTACCAACAGATATGTCATTTTGAATTGTTACGAACTAAACATTCTACGAGCCAACAGGAGACTACACGTTGACAACACAGATGGTGAATGACTTACCAGACCATCTGCTTCCTCGGATCAGTTATAGACTAAACAACAATAAAACGAGACAGATTATTGTCTGACACATACTGTATCACATATATTATGTAAATGAGGATCACAGTTAAAATTGACGGAGATTTTTATATCCAACAAATATTCCAAGATAATGACATGGATGTGCATTTTTCACCAGTAAAGGGAAGACAATTCAAGGGAGACAATCGACAGGGAGATATACAAAATATTCAGTTAAAACACAAGACAAATAGTATTAACCAAGCTATCCACTTTAAGACAAGAAGGAAGAACAATATCTAATCTGTGATTCACAGATGGCACACACACAATATTGATATTATTGAGTTCAAAGTTCATGTGCACAAGGAATATTAATATTATTTTTTATAAAAGGAGACAAAATGTATTATTTAGTGGTGGATT